TTTTCTATCTAAATCGGCGGATAAATCTCTACCCTTCTTCCAGATCATGAGGAAGACGGCTGGCTTTCTATGGACTCCGGAATGCCAGGGGGCTTTCGACGAGCTCAAAAGATATCTACCTTCACCTCCTGTGCTCTCCAAACCCAAGGTAGGGGAGACCCTCTACCTCTACCTTGGGGTCAGCCCGGCGGCCATCAGCTCTGTGCTCATATGGGAGGAAGACGGCATCCAACATGCCATCTTCTACGTTAGCAAGACCCTAAGGGAGGCCGAGCTCAGGTACTCCCCTGTGGAGAAAACGGTGTTGGCCATCGTTTGGACTGTCAAGAAGTTGGGCCACTACTTTCAGGCTCACCCAGTTCAGGTCCTCACTCATCAACCCCTCGGCGCCCTCATGAGGAGCCCCACCAGCTCCTCCCGCATGGTTAAATGGGTTATCTTCTTGAGCCAGTACAACATTGACATCCGTCCAAAGCTTGCCATCAAGGGCCAAGCCCTAGCGGACTTTGTGACGGAATGTACCGCAAGGGCAGCCACGGACGGGGAGCCCTCGGCTACCTCGGACGACTGGTGGACCCTCTACACTGATGGCTCCTCCGCGACAAAAGCATGCGGGGGAGGGGTAGTCCTCATTACTCCCGAGGGCTTCAGGGCCTACTATGCAATCCGCTTCTCCTTCAAAGTCTCCAACAATGAGGCCGAATATGAGGCCCTCCTATGTGGCCTTCGGCTGGCTGCCAACATGAGGGCTCGGCAGATCCACATCAAATGCGACTCCAAGTTGGTCGTTGGCCAAATCTCCGAAGAATATGAGACCAAGGAGGGAAGAATGAAACAGTACAAGGAAGCGCCAAGGAGTTGCTTAAGGTATTTGAGGCACACTCTCTTACTCAAATACCGAGGGCTCAGAACTCCGAGGCCGACATATTGTCTAAGCTCTCGGCTGACTCCCCCGAGCACATCTCCAAAATTGCCAAAATCGAGGAACTCAGCCTCTCAAGCATCCATGTGAGCCCCGTTATGAACATACAACAACGACAGGAGGATTGGATCTCAGATATCACCGCCTTCATCTCCACGGGGCAGCTACCCGAGGATGAGGCCCGCGCTAAACTGGCAAAACTGAGGGCTCCCAGCTACACCATCGAAGATGGGAGGCTCTACAAACGATCTTACAATGGCACGCTACTTCGGTGCCTTCATCCAGATGAAGCCGAGGTCGCAATGGAGGAAGTGCACAGTGGCACTTGCTCAGCTCACCAGGGACCCTTCTCCATGTCCCGAAGGCTCATTCTCCAGGGCTACTTCTGGCCAACCATGGCCAGGGACTGTGCTGACCTTGCCCGGAGGTGCACCGCATGCCAACATTTCCAGAAAGCTCCCGGCAGACCAGCGGTCAACTATGCCCCCATCAGCACCTCTGTCCCGTTTTCCCAATGGGGGATAGACCTTGTGGGCCCTCTGCCGAGGGGTACCTCCAACAACAGATACATCATTGTGGCCATCGACTATTTTACCAAGTGGGTGGAGGCTGAACCCCTCGTCGGCATCACAGAGGCAAAGTGCCGTCAATTCGTCCTCAAGAACATCCTCACAAGGTTTGGCGTCCCCCAGCAGATCATCTCCGACAATGGGACACAATTTGAGGCAGCCCCCTTCTGTGCCCTTCTGGAGGCATGGGGCATCAAACACACCTTCTCCTCCGTTGCCTACCCTCAAGGCAACGGGCAAGTAGAGAATGCCAACCGGACCTTGCTCGAGGGCCTAAAAAAGAAGCTAGAGGCCGAGGGCGGTGGCTGGGTGGAAGAACTCCACAACATCCTTTGGGCCTACCGCACCACCCCTCGGCGAGCTACAGGTGAAACACCCTTCTCCCCCTGCTACGGTTTTGAAGCCAAAACTCCTACGGAAGTCACCCTTCCTACCCGAAGGGTGATCCAATACGACCCCGAGGTCAACGACAGCAACATGGCCCTCGACCTCCACCTCATTTCAGAACGCCAGGAGCAGGCCTTCATCCGAGCAGAAAACTACCGAAGGCAAGTTAAATACTACATCGACGCCAAAGTTCGCACCCGAGAATTTCAAGTGGGGGACTACGTCCTCCGGAGGAGGGAAGCCAGCCAACCAACCGAGGGAGGAAAAATGGCACCAAAATTCGAAGGCCCCTACATCATAGCAGCCATCATCAAACCCGGGACCTACAAGCTCAAACGCCCCAATGGGAAAGAAGTCCCTAGGCACTGGAATGTACACCATTTAGTTAAATTTTATCAATGATGTAAGAGCGGCCAAGCCCTCATAACTAGTGAATGTACTATCCTATGGCCCAAGGCCTCCAATTTCGAAGAATGAAGATACATTCAAGACATCAAGCCCTCATACTGACTACAGGCCCCAGGCCCCACCACGAGAAGAACCCCCTCCGGCACCAAATGCCGAGGGCGGACACCATCAACACCAAACAGTGAAAACACCATGTGTTTTCAGTCAAGACCCCTCGGTACCAAGTGCCGAGGGAAGGAACCCCTATCACCAACAACAAGGAACACCATGTGTTTCATTCCCCTTCGGCACCCAGTGCCGAGGGTACATCCCCACCTTCAACATCAAAAAAGAAAAAATGAGAACACCAAGTGTTCCTACAGAAGACCCCTCGGCACCCAGTGCCGAGGGTACACCTCCATCATCAAACATCGAAACGAAGGGAAAAACACCAAAATGTTTCAAAGAAGACCCCTCGGCACCAAGTGCCAGGGAGATGCTCTCCTATCAACTTCCAAACATCTATTGGGAAACACCAAGTGTTTCATTTGAAGACCCCTCGGTACCAAGTACCGAGGGTAGACACCTCCATCAACTGCAACAAAGGAGAACACCAAGTATTCCTACAGAAGACCCCTCGGTACCAAGTATCGGGGGCTACACATCGAAACTAACACCAAGTGTTGTTTCTAAAAGCCGTACCCCACGAGGACGCATATACCGAAGGCGCCACCATCGGTGCCGGCGGCACGTAGTGCCCCCGACCATTTGCAACTAGTGTGCAAATGAAAACCCTTCCTTGAAACGCTTTCCGCGTCACTACCCCCAGGGTGTGACAGGCATGAGAAATGCCCAGGATTCGACTTTCAAAAACGGAACGCTATCCGCGTCACTACCCCCAGGGTATGACAGGTATGAGAAATGCCCAGGATTCGACTTCCAAACCGAAACGCTCCCCGCGCCACCACCCCAAGGGTGTGGCAGGCCACGGACTATGTCTAGCGCCGAGGGGACGACTTTCAAAAATGAGGCGCTTTCCGCGCCATCCCCCAAGGGGAGGCAGGTTACGGACCACCATATCTTGTGCCCAGGAAACGTCCCTCGATCCCCTCGGAACTCGGAAGGTTAACCCGAGGGAGGAGAGCCATTGGTGTATTCTGATGGTCTCCTAATAGGCCCAGCCTTACCAAGAAACCAAGTTTCTTGATGCCTTCCCTTCACCACCAACCCAAAAAAAAAAGGGGGTGAAGGGGAGTAGACTCAGCGAGAAATCAAAGAGTACACTCCAACAAATCGCAACATGCCGAGGACTCCCCACGGGAACACCTCCGGTAATTGAAGACTCCTATTTCCCGAAGGATACTACTCAAAGAAATATCATCAGGAAACGGCAAAGACCACTACCTGGTCACCTCCGGTCACAAAAACACCGAAGGCTTCAACAATACAAAGGGACTGGACTATCCAAGGTCCACTAAACGGTACTTCAAACAAACACCGAAGGCATCCGTTATGCACAAATACCGAGGGCCCCTTCCCCATGACAAGGGTCAAATTCACAACTTTTTAAGTGTATGCCGAGGGCACACACTCCTCATTGGCTTTCTTCACAACAACAGGACTCAACATCAATTTATGCTTAGAAAAATTCTAAGTCCTGAAGGAGCAGCCCCCGGGCACCCGAAGGCTACACAGGGAAGCAGCACCCGAAGGCTCCCGGCCCAATCAATATTACAGCCAAGGGAATATGGTGGCCGAAGGCCATGCAATACAACAACACTTAAAAAAAGTATTCTGTCCTAAATGAGTAGCCCCCGGGCATCTGCAAAGTGATGTGGAATCAGAGGGCAGCTATCACCCGAAGGCTCCCAAGGGAAAATTTACACTTAGAATATTTTCTAAGTCCTACATGTTTTTCCCTGGTCAACTACTCATACATCAAGGGGGGATGCCATCTCCCGAAGGCTCCCAAGGGAAAATCCACACTTAGAGAATATTTTCTAAGTCCTACATGTTTTCCCCCGGTCAACTACTCATACATCAAGGAGGGATGCCATCTCCCGAAGGCTCCCAAGGGAAATTTACACTTAGAATATTCTCTAAGTCCTGCATATTTCCCCCCCTAGTCAGCTACTCATACATCATGGAGGGACGCCATCTCCCGAAGGCTCCCAAGGGAAACTCTACACTTGGAAGATTTTCTAAGTCCTACATATTTCACCCTCATCTCAAGGGACCTAATTGCCGAAGGCTACCTATCAATCGAGGGCTACAGTACACAAGGAATCAACACTCCAGAAAAATTTCTAAGTCCTAAAGAATTGGCCCCCGGCCTATTCAATATTTCAGTTGGGGCTCCACAGTAGCCGAAGGCTACATGACATACTACACTTGCAAAAAATCTCTAAATCCTGTGCATTGGGCCCTCGGTCCAACATTCACACATCAGGAAGGGAGGCCATATCCCGAAGGCTCTCAAGGGGAAATCTACACTTAGAAATTTTTTCTAAGTCCTAGGATTTGGGTTACTGCAATCACCCGAAGGCCCTATGGTGTGCTACACTTAGAAAAATTTTCTAACTCCTAATTGCTGCTGAACCCTCGGTTGCATATCCAGCAGAGGGTGCCCAACTACCGAAGGCTCCCAAGGGCTAGCTACAATCAGATGGTATTCTAAGTCCTAAGACATACATTCAAAACAAAAACGAAGGCACGCATTCGAGAAGAAACGAATTGGAGAAAACAAATCATATAAACACAGCCCGAGGGCAATCATGCATTCATCAAAAACAAAGTAAGTGTGAGATTTACAAACGGGCCGAAGCCGAAGGAACAATGTTGTTCATTACAAAACATGTTCAAAGATTTCTAAGTACAAAGTCATTCTACAACTACAACAGCATCATTCACTGGGGCGCCCTCTGCAGCCGGCCTCGATGATGCCTCCGCTCCGGTCTCGACAGCGTCGTCCTCGGCCTCATTCTTCAACACCGTGTCCTCAAGGTCGGGCCTCTGAACACCTTCCGGGAGCGACTCACGGACATCAGGCTGCAAGGGAGGAAGGCCATACGCCGAGGGGGGGGGGAAGTCCTTTTGCTCAATGCCCAAATGCCGGGCCATCCTCCGGTAGATGAGGGCCTGGGTGAAGAATTCGCCGGCTTCATAGTACTCTCTGCCCTTCCGGGCCATCCATTCCCACCTAGGGCCCTCGGCCCATTCTTCAACGCAGGCCTCCACGACCGAGGACACCCACATCTTGCGCCCCTCGGCTCTCCAACCCTCGGCGACAAAGGCCTCAACGGCCTCCTCCTGAGCCTTGGCGACGGCTAGCGCTTTGGAGTCCTCGGCCTCTTTAGCAGCTCTCCTGGCAGCGGCCTCAGCATCAGCCTTGCCTTTCTCTGCAGCCTCCAATTTCAAGCTCATCTGCCGGAGCTCCTCTTCTAGCTGGGCCCCCAGCTTCACCGCCTCTTGGTTCTTGAGGAGGCACTCCCTCATTCTGGCGTCTTGCTCCGCTTTGTGGAGGCGCCATTCTTGAAGCCTCCGAGCCTGTTCGCCGAGGGCTAAGCAAGCCTGCAGAACAACAACAAAAACAGTTAAAGGCAATCACACAAAAATAATCAAAGGAGAAGATGGAGAAAGCCAGGGAAACACTTACAGAGAGGGAGGAGCGGAGAATGTGGTCCTCGAGGGCCGCATCATTGTAGGACCCGAGGGCAGCCCTATCCGTCTCAGGGGTCATACCCCTCAGGATGGCCCCCGGGTCGACAGCGCCGCTGGCCAAAGACATACCCCTCGGGAACGCGACTTGGAGGATCTCAGGCAGCAACTCCTCTGCCCCCGCCGGCGTTCCACCCGGCAGCTTCTCCACCTGCACCCCGGAGGCGGGGTGCTCATCAGCAATAATGACCGGGGGCTCCTTCTCGGCGACATCCCCCTTCTTCGGTTTCTTGATAGCCGGGGGGGACCCCTTGGTCACTGCCTTCCTCTTACCGGCAGCGGCATCGCCCTCGGCTTTCTTAAAGAGGGCAGTGGCGGGCTTCTGGATGCCCTGTCCCGACCCCTTCGGGTCCTGTTTCTTCAAACGAGCAAGGCCCTTTACATTCACCATAGAGACGGGGATACCTGCACAAAGGAGACAAAGGGTTAGTCCGACGGGTCTAAGCGAAGGGACGATAACATCCAAGCAAAAAAAAAAACTAAGTACAAAATTCTAAAGCCCTCGACTCCTACCTCCGGCCCCTCCGAAGGCCTTGTTGAAGGGAGGGTACTTTTCATCGGTCTCCCCTATGAAGCGGTACCTCCGGAACCCGAGGGTGTATAAATCCTCCTCGAGGGTGCAGTCTTTGATCGCCACGTTCTTGTTTTTCCCCTCCGGGAACTTGGCCAGCTTTAGGCCGTCTTTCTCGAGAGCGGCACTCCTGATCTTTTCGTGCCTTCGGAATCGGTCACGTAGCTCCCTCGGGAATGGGCTCTCATCCAACTTCACGTAGCACCAACGTTCCCTCCATCCTTTGTTGGAAGAAGGAGCATCGGAGAATAGTTTGAAGCGGGCAATCTGCTGCAGGTTGGCGTACCCCTCGCCGTTTTCGTGCCCCCCCCCCCCCCCCGGCACAGATTAAAACTCTGGAAGAATAGATCCAGGCTAGGTTTCACCCCTCGGGACTTGCAGAGCTGGAGGAACCCCGCAATGTAGGAGTGGCTGTTGGGCGTGAGTTGGCAGGGGACCAAGCCAACAAACCGCAAATATTCCCGGAGGAATGGGTGCAGAGGGAACCTAAGTCCCATGGAAACCGAAAGGACGTGAATAGCAATACACCCCTCGGGCGCCCTGGACAACACGTCGTCGGGACCTGGCTCCACCACTTCGGCCGAGGGCCCCACGTGCAGCTGAGTCACGTACAGATCTGCCCTGTCGGCCTTCGACCTGATCTCGAGGGCCTCAGTGTTCAGCCAACTGTACCCCTCGGGCATGTCTACGGGCTTTCCTTGATCGACGGCCCTCTCCTTCTTCTTGGTAGCGGCCTTCTTCTTCTTCTAACCGGAAACCGCCCTCAGAGGTGTCGGATCCAACGGCCTCGAGCTACTGGCCTCCCCGGAACCCCGAGGGGGGAGAACAGCAATCGTAACCTTCGAGCTCTCATTCTGTGCCTCATCCTCCGCTGTCTGCCATGCGAGGGCTAAGTCTTCATCATCGCACTCCTGCTCGAAGCCCTCGGCTTCAACCTCCGCAATGAGTTCCTTCTGGACCTCCCGGGCCAGGGCTGCATCACCACCATCCGAGGGTTGACCACTGCTTGACTCCACGTCGGAGATGCCTTCGTCCTCCATCGAGGGCGTCCTCAAGATATCTTGAGAATCACTCTGGGACGACATTCTGACTCTAGTTCGAAGGCTCGTACAACTAGTGTTTTCTAAATGTTCTATCTCCTAGCCTAAGGGCGCAGTACAGGTAGCTAAGAGGTGAAGGGTAACTGGAGAACTGACCTTAAGAACAGAGGATTCAACCAGGGGCTGCTGTTTCTCTCTCTAAAAAAATTGGCAGAGCTTCGTTAACAAGTTTTTCGCACACGGAGGAACGCCTGGCCTTGGGGTATTTATAGGCGATGAATCCGGGCTTGGGCCTGGATTCCGGGCCTCCGGACGGACCGCCATCATTACACACCGCCGTTTCACCCAACCGGTGACACCGCCCACGAACAGCCAGCCATCACACGCCACGTATGCCACCCCCCCAACGGCTATATCCTGTCGTTACATATTCCAACGGCTATATTTCCAACGGCTATATTCTGGAAGCCCCCGGGTTTTCTACTTCACTCCACTTCATCAAGGATTGCCTCCGGGTGCACTCACCCAGAAGTGCCCCCGGGTTGTGCCCCACACAGCACATTACACACGCCTTCGGGATCACTCCTTCAGATCCCTAGGGCTGCATATCAGGGAACCCCTCGGGGTTTCCCCCTCAGCACTACACAACCGGGCAGCCCCCGGGGAGTGCCTCATTGACGGATGGCCCATGGCACACAGGTAATGGGAGCCCTCGGGTATCTTCATCACCAACTCATCAACAAACAGTGGACCCCCCGGTAACAACTTCACTGCTGCCCTCATCTGGCAAGCCCTCGATCCCTGGATTGAGGGGCTCCCCTTCGGCACCACCAGGACATCAACAGCAAGCCTTCGGCTAATCAACACAGGAGCCCTCAGAAGAGAGAGCCTTCGGCATTCCCGTCATTCTCCATTTTTCACCAAGGTTTGACATTTTCGATTCATCATTGGGGGAATTCGGTGCACTCTTTTTCCCTCATTAGGATTTTTTCCCAAAGGGTTTTTCCTAATGAGGTTTTTAACGAGGCATCCCCCCAAAATGAAACGAAAAGCGTCAGCCTTCGGCCCACAACGGCAACGTAACTACTTTACTCCTTTTCACCACTTTACAGGTGCCTCAAGGAGTGGGGGACTGGAGGACCCCTTCGGGAAAACCATTAAATTACAAAATCTATGAAATTCCAACAAACAACAAAGCAAGCCCTCAAGTCCCGACATGTGGGTAACTGAGGGACTGCCTTCGGCAGGGACATAAAAGCAACAACTCCTCACCAACTTCAGAGATCACAACGGGACAACATCAAAGGGCAAGCACAAATTACTCCTTTTCCCTCAAGTACCTTTCGGCAAAAGGAGTGAGGGACTCCTGATGGAGTATATGGCCCGAGAACCCCCGGCCCACAGACTCTTACTACTCCAGCAAAGGCCCAACAGGCCCAAAAGGCCCAACAGGCCCAAATCACAGCGCCCGGAGTACCAAGCAGTCCGCACAACGCACAGGGGTGCCTTCGGCCCCCTGGCCGAAGGCTCCAAATTCTCACAGAGCGGGTTTCTCAAGCAAACTAAGAAACTGGGAGAAAACGGCGAAAACAGTAGCCCTCGGCACTGTGAGCCCTCAGCACCAGGGGGTGCCATCGGGTGGAAGAGCCCTCGGCTACTACTTTATAGCCGAAGGCATCTCACTCGACAAGATATCCGCCTCACATGCGTACAGATCACCGTACCCCGCACAGACGTCCCATCCAACAGCCGCATTAAATGCGGCCACATGCGGCTGCCAGCGCCAACCAGTTGAGGTGACCCCTCGGCCAATGGGCGCTTGACACGTGTCCCTGCCCGGCATTTATTGCTACTATAAATAGCACCCCATTTCCCCATTTGTAACTACGCTGAATACATATCGAATATACACTCTCTCTTACTTGTTCGCTCTGACTTCCCTCTAAGTTATTCCCCGTAATAACCCCTCGGATATATACCCCCGGGTAGGCTCTCCATCATTTGGTGCTCTCGTTGAGAGGTTGAACAATCGAGTAAGAAACCCTCCCCCTCGACCAAACACAAAACACTAGCCCTCTATCAAAATGGTGAGGACAACACGTGCCAACTCAAAGAACGTAGAAGACAAGAACCTGGCCCTCAGCGACGTCAACGCCCCCGAAGCCTCTCACAGGGCTCCCGAGGGCGGTGTCCTCGCTGTGCTGGAACAGGCGGCTGTCGACCTACGCCTTCAGATCCAACAAAACGCCCCCGATGCCCGCCTCGGCATCGAGGCCAAGAAGAAAAACCGGAGCGATGACCAAGTCAGCCCTCCGGTTCTCACCATCGACGTACAATCGGCGCTCTCCGCCTTCATCCAAACGCTCACCCAGAACCCGGGTGCCTTCGGCACCCTGGCTCCAGCTCACCCTCAGATCGGGGAAAATATCATACTTCCCCCTCTGCCACACCCCTTCGGAAATCCCACCCCTCGGGTGAGAAACGACGAAGGGTGGTGGCCCAAGAAACATCCTCCCAGGAAGTTCAGTCCCGGGACCGCCATAATGACAACAGGGAGAGGCCCCGCACTTCCGCCCTCAACCGGCTCGGAGGAGGGCCAGACCGCCGAGGGGTCCAAGACCGCCTCGGAGGGAAAGCACTCCAAAGGCCCCAGGAAAGCGGGGGATCTGTTTCGAGGGCAGACGAGGAGCGTCCCCCTCGGGACAAAGGCAAGGCCCCCCTTCATGCCGATGATGCTCGGCACCAAATCAACCAGGCCCACTCGGCCCGGGTTCGTTCGCAGGGGGCGGAGACCCTCCCGAGGGACCCCCGGGACGAGATTATTGCGGCCCTCCAGCGCCGGCTTGACGAGATGGAGTCCAACAAAGCTCACGCCACCACCTCCACCCCTCACTCAGATCTCAAATACGAGGCCGTGATGGCCAAAATGGAGGAGTTACAGAAGAAGGTGGCAGAGGGCTCCGGGGAACCCGTCATCCAGCTCCGGACCCGGACGCCATTTACCCCAAGGGTATTGGCGGCCCGGATCCCGGAGAAATACCGAGGGCAACACATACAGCCCTACAGCGGGAAAACAGACCCCCAGGAACATTACAGCAAGTACCAGAATAGCATGATGATGGTGGGGGCGTCAGACGAATATTTGTGTCGTTGGTTCCTCTCCACCTTAGAGGGACCAACATACGAATGGTTCAACAGGCTGCCCGAGGGCTGTATTGATTCATGGCAAGAACTCGCCCAGCGGTTCTTGACACAATTTGCCGGGAGGCGTCGCACAAGGAAGCACTTCTCCCACCTCCTAACAATACGCCAGAAGAAGGATGAGACCCTTCGGGATTTCCTGGAGCGCTGGAGGACGGAGGCCGACAAGGTCGACGGTGCTGATGACGGGACCCTCCTGGCCCTCCTACAAACCGTCCTCCGCACCGGCAACTTTTCAAGGAGCCTCATCATTGAACCCCCCCGCGACTACATAAGGGCCTTGCAGCGGGGGGACCGATATGCTGAGGCCGAGGAGGTGGAGAAGTATCACCAGCATCAGTCGAATCCTGGGCATTTCTCATGCCTGTCATACCCTGGGGATTGTGACGCGAAAAGCGTTTCAAGGAAGGGTTTTCATTTGCACACTAGTTGCAAATGGCTGGGGGCACTACGTGCCGCCGGCACCGATGGTGGCGCCTTCGGTATATGCGTCCTCGTGGGGTACGGCTTTTAGAAACAACACTTGGTGTTAGTTTCGATATGTAGCCCCCGGTACTTGGTACCGAGGGGCCTTCTGCAGGAACACTTAGTGT